AGACGGCGTGGATTTGAATCCTGGATCCATCATTAATTCTCTGGCAAGTTACTTCAGCTCATTGTGCCCTGGTTTCCTCATCTCTGTCACGGGGACAATAGTATCACCTATCTTTCAGGGTAGATGCAAGGAATAAAGGAATCGTTACCTATAAACGTACCAAGAACACTATCTGGCACATATTAACACCCAAAAAGTGACTTATTTCTTCCCGTTTAGTTTCCTCCCTTCATTAGTTCATTCATTCAACCAAGTAATGGCCCACTATGCACAAGGCACTATGCAAGTAACAACGACCACAGCGGGAAACACACACACACGTGCACGCGCACACGCACGCGGGTTCCCTCCTCACGTTGGGATTAGGTAGGAAACGTTGGCACACAGATAACTGCAGTGAAGTTACATGTGAGATGTACTGCTTAAGTGTTACAAAATGCTCCGGGATGGGGCATCATGCCTGCAAGACAACTGGAGAAGGCTTCATTGACGACAGGCCAGGATGAGATTTTAACAGAGGGGAGACTGAGTAGAAAGACGTGTAACATTCTAGGTAGAAGGTACCGCATGGGCAAAGATGCTGAAGTGATGTGTGGGGCTGGAAAGCTGCTTTGAGGTCAATTGTGGCAGGGGGACATGGCGGCGGGGGGGAGGGGGGTGGATCTCAATTTCAAGCCCTGAGTAACTTTATTATTAACTTTATTATTAACTATTAACTCTATCTATTATTAACTTTACCCTGTGAGCCACAGAAAGTCCTTGGAACATTTTAAATGATGTTTTAGGACAAAGCAGTGTTAAAGGAAGATGAATCTGGCAGGACGAGCAGAAAGGATAGAAAAGGAAAAGACCGGTGACAATGTGAGCTAGGAGGCTACTGCAATGGTCCAACCATGCAGTAACAAGGGTATGAATGAAAAGAAATGCAAGGGACATTGGGAAGGACAAACTGACAGGACTCGGTGACCAAGAGGATGTGCGGAGCAAGGAGAAAGAGGAGGAGGAGATGACTATGGCTTTGAATGTGAATATCACGGACAGAAAAGGGGGCTTGCTAGTCAGCAAAGATTCTGATTCCCAGTTACCCAGCACATTATCCAAACAAAGCTCTCCCCATAGGAAGGAGCACAGAGTAGGAGTTCTGAACACGGGCTTACGAGTCAGTTAGGGACACCTGCTATGCTATTTGCTAACTGTGTCACCCTGAGCCAGTTTTCACCTCCCAGAGCTTTCCTCCGTTGCAAAATAGGGATAAAAACAACATACTCCTCAGGAATGTGAAGATTAAATAAGACAAAATGCTATGATAATGTGATGCACCTGCAAAGTACCTGTCCGAAGAGAGTACGAAGTAAACGCCAAACAAAAGAATGCCAGAGCCCCCAAGTAGGGGATACAAAATAATAATAATAATACTCCACACTCAAATTCTCCGGAACAAATATTCACATTTTGATGATTAAGCTTTTGAGCCAGAAGGAGAAACAGCAGTGAGGAACAATCTCTGCTAATGAAATTGGCCCATGAATTTGGGTAAATTCCTCCCGTCTTCTCATCAAGGGCTCCATCATTTTCCTGCCCATGCCTCTCAGGCAACACCAGCTTCCACATCCCTTTCCTGATTTCCGGGGACAAACGTGGCCAAGATGATCCCAGGGGCTGCTGACCAGTCAGCTGCTGTGTGTGAACTCCAAAGACCTATTGACACAGCTGCAGGCCCCTGGGCCAGGGCCGGGGGGCGGGGCCCTGTCTGAAACGCTTGAGCTATACCTTGAGAGGCAGCAAAATGGCAAAGGGGCCAATAAACCAGCCCGGTTCTTGGAGGGGGCACTGTCATGCACGCAACAAAAACTCAACACGCCAGAGCAAACTGGTTCTATCAAATGGGCCCCTGGTGTTTGGAAATTACAGACCTAAATCTTGGTCTGATCCATTTTCTGTCACTGCAGAGCTCTGCTCACAGCTGCTGTCTTAACTGCAGGCAAAACTGCCCTTCACCCAAACTGCTGTTAAGTTTTCACGAATACCCACAACCCTCTGAGACACTCCTGTAAGGGTCCAGGAAAACAAAGAAAGACAGCAAACGATGAATCAGGGGATCGACCCCAGTCTGTCAGACTTCAAAGCCTGTGCCTTTTCCCGTTTCCAAGGGGACCTCAGCCTCGGCACAGAATCATACAATGTTGGGACACTCAAGTAATCAAGTCTGCTCTCCCCCTTCCATACCACAGGAGAAGTGCAGCTCAGAGGAGTTGGGTGGCTTGTCTAAGATCACACAGCATGTGACAGTTCCTAGCAAGATACTAGATCATATTAATCAGACTATTTCCTTACAATCAAATACAAATGAATGTTTTCTTTTTTTTTTTTTTTTAAGTTTGTTGCCTCGGTTGGTCCCACACCATCCGTGAAGTCTTTATGTCACAGACATTTCCAGCCCCTTTCACAGAAAAGGAGCCTGAGGTACAAAGAGGTTCATGGCTTACCTTAGGTCACAGAGCCAGCACAGCCAGGGCTAGAGCCAGAGTCTTTGGGTTGTAAGCCAGTTGGCCAGTATTAACCAAATCAACTCAATGCCGGGGGCTGTGCTTCGAGCAATTAAGATGTTTATATGCTGGGAGAAGAGATACAACAGCAGAGAGCAGGAGAAGGCAATATGTACTAATAGAGCCAACAAACTAGATGAGAGACCTTAAATGAGGATGCACTTACCAATTCTACTAAGAGATAAGAATATGTTATCTTAGAGTACTTTTTCTTGTTCAGTGTATCTTTCTCCAGCATATCTATAAATGAAGTCCGCCCTCCCCCCGCAAAAAAAGCTGAAGCAGACTGTTAGTTGTAGGTTTCAAAGACCTGCCCCCACAGCTGAGCACTGCGCACAGCTTCCCTGTAGCAGGGGATGGCGGGAGGTAGCGGAAGGCGACAGAAGACGCAGACCCAGCTGGTCAGGAGGAACGATTTCCTGGCCAAATAGTCTGGCTCCTGGGAATCTCTTTCCCCAGAGTGATCACAACCAGAAAAAATAAAAAACAAAAAGGAATCTTGATTTGTCTGGATCATAAGAATGTAGAACAGGGGCACCTGGGTGACTCGGTGGGTTAAGTACGTGAGTTTGGTTCAGGTCATGATCTCACAGTCCAGGGGCTCAAGCTCCATGTTCGTGGTTTCTGAGCGGTCAGCACAGAGCCTGGAGCCTGCTTTGGATTCTGTCTCCCTCTCTCTGCCCCTCCCCCGCTCACACTGTCTCTGTCTCTGTCTCTGTCTCTGTCTCTCAAAAATAAACAAGCATTACAAACTGGTGCAGCCACTCTGGAAAACAGTGTGGACGTTCCTCAGAAAATTAAAAATAGACCTACCCTATGACCCAGCAATAGCACTGCTAGGAATTTACCCAAGGGATACAGGAGTACTGATGCATAGGGGCACTTGTACCCCAATGTTTATAGCAGCACTTTCAACAATAGCCAAATTATGGAAAGAGCCTAAATGTCCATCAACTGATGAATGGGTAAAGAAATTGTGGTTTATATACACAATGGAGTACTACATGGCAATGAGAAAGAACGAAATATGGCCTTTTGTAGCAACGTGGATGGAACTGGAGAGTGTGATGCTAAGTGAAATAAGCCATACAGAGAAAGACAGATACCATATGTTTTCACTCTTATGTGGATCCTGAGAAACTTAACAGAAACCCAAGGGGGAGGGGAAGGAAAAAAAAAAAAAAAAGAGGTTAGAGTGGGAGAGAGCCAAAGCATAAGAGACTCTTAAAAACTGAGAACAGGGGCACCTGGATGGCTCAGTCGGTTGAGCATCCGACTTCGGCTCAGGTCATGATCTCGTGGTCCATGAGTTCGAGCCCCGCGTCGGGCTCTGTGCTGACAGCTCAGAGCCTGGAGTCTGCTTCGGATTCTGTGTCTCCCTCTCTCTCTCACCCTCCCCCATTCATGCTCTGTCTCTCTGTGTCTCAAAAATAAACATTTAAAAAAAAAAACCTGAGAACAAACTGAGGGTTGATGGGGGGTGGGTGGCAGGGAGGGAGGGGAGGGTGGGTGATGGGTATTGAGGAGGGCACCTTTTGGGATGAGTACTGGGTGTTGTATGGAAACCAATTTGACAATAAATTTCATTAAAAAAATAAATAAACAAGCATTAAAATTGTTTTAAAAAATAATATAACAATTATTACTTAGTACTTACCCTAATGTGTGAATGTTGTGCTAAGTCCTTTACATCCCTTATCTCATCTAGCCCCATAGCAACCCTTCAAGGTGGGTGTTTTGATCCCTATTTCAGTGAGGAGGAGAATGTGAGGCTCAGAGATGTTAAGTAATTTAGCTAAGGTCACACAGATGTAACGATGAGGTGACTTGGAACCACAGTCTATTTCCCTCCAAAGCCCTAACTTGTATCCACATCCTATCCTCGTTCAAAGAAGATAACCGACGGGAAGATGCCTCTCCCTTCTCCAAACCCTGAGTTTCCTTAAGAGGCAACCATCTATGATATGACATAGATGCGACATTATCACAATGACACCAAGCTATAACAAGCATCTGAAAATTTTGGTTAACCAGTATCTTTCCTTTTGTAATAAAAAAAAAAATGTCATTTCATATCATTCGAACTAACTTGAAAACAATTATAGACTCTTATTTCCGAGATTGAATTTGGAACAAAGCTTAGCGCTATTTAAAATGCACATGTATGGGGCGCCTGGGTGGCGCAGTTGGTTAAGCGTCCGACTTCAGCCAGGTCACGATCTCGCGGTCCGTGAGTTCGAGCCCCGCGTCGGGCTCTGGGCTGATGGCTCAGAGCCTGGAGCCTGCTTCCGATTCTGTGTCTCCCTCTCTCTCTGCCCCTCCCCTGTTCATGCTCTGTCTCTCTCTGTCCCAAAAATAAAATAAACGTTGAAAAAAAAAAATTTTTTTAAATAAAATGCACATGTAAAACTATCCATTTTGTGGGCAGATTCAAATGCAATCTACTGTAGCCAATTTCCATACTGAAACATACTGTGAGATTTTATTGAGCATTTGCAGTGAAAGCTGAGAGGAGAGTTACCTACTTCTTTTTGGAAGATCCTAAGTATTTTGTCAACAAAAGGAATTACGTATGTCCTAGTCAATCTCTGTATTGTATGATAAAGCAGTACACTGAGCAGCTAAACTCTACCAAATTATGTCTGGGTATCATGGGATATCTTAGGTCAGATCAGATCCTGAAATCCATGACTTCAAGGGGAATTCACAAGTGCCACGGAGGCACTGTTAGAGGAAGAAGTGGGAGACTGGAGGGCTCGGTGACGGCCTGGAAGCCTGTGGGGAGATGCCACGGAGCCCGACGTGGCTGATCGGGACCCTGTTCTGTCTTCCCGGCTCCCCACTCCAGGACACACGTGACAGCGGGGCCGAGGTTGAAGTAACTAACTTAAGCTGACTTCAGTGATCATTCCATGAAGGTCATGTCCCTGCAAAAAGAAATAGAGAGAAAGAAGAGTGGTAAGTGAAAGGCGGGCCTTGTCTCTGTCATCAGAGGACAAGTGCCCGGCACAGTCCCTGGGCTCAGAGCAAGTGACTCCTACATGTGGCCGAAAGGAGGAAAAGAATAGAATATGGGTTCCTAGGGGAGAAAAATACCTACGGAAAACTCACTAACTCGCTAAATAAGTCCAACAGAGGAAGAACGTAGAGAAAAGTCACGTCTGCTAGATTGAGGAGCGGCAGAGAGGTCTCACATTTAGGAGAAAAAAATAAAATGATAATAGTAATAATAGTAACAGCAGTTAACGCTTTGTGCCAGACACTGTTCTCCTGCTTGACTGTAAATTCCAAAAGGGCAAGGACTTTTCCTCTTTCACTCACCTGTATACACAGCGCACCTAGTTCAGGGCTTGGAAGGCATTCGGGACATGCTATGCATTTACTATGCTTTAGTAAATGAATAGATAAAACAGTTATGCGTATGGGGGGGGGAGGTGGAAATAGTAAAGTAAAAAAAAAAAAATTTTTTTAAGGATGGTAATTATGAGCTCATTTTCTCTAACATTATTGAGAAACAAGTAGGTCTCAGGCATTGAACTTGGCCCTGAAGATAAAGAGGTTAAAAGACAAGGTATCTTCTGGGCTTGGTGAGATGGCACTCAAGACTAGGGCCTTATTCAATGAACCGACACTTACCAAGCTCACCAAGCTCCTGTTCTGGGACAGGTACCCAGCTGGGCACTCTGGGGAGAAAGAGATAAGGAAGTCCCTCTCCCTGCCCTCCAGGAGCTCACAGTGGTGTAGATGGGGTGTCTGTACCAGAGATGGGTGTGAAGGGTTGTGATCAAGACAGGACATAAGGAATCTGCCTAAAGGGGGTCAGCCCAGTTACCTTTCACGACCAGACTTCAAGCAAAAGGTGATCATTGCTAACCATGGAGCTTTTGGGATTCCTGCACTGACCGGGACTTTTTCATGTAATAAATTCCTGCCCCCACTCCCAGGAATCTGTATATATGCATTTTTAATGCTCTAGAACCTGGAAAAAATGGGTTCTTCCAATCTACAAATAAGCACTAAGACTACATGATCCTCAGCTCTGTGATAATTTTAAGATGAGATGACATAGTAATACAGCGAGCACAGAACTCAGACTCCCATTCTATAAAAGGGTCTTCAGTATTTTGTGTTCAGTTATCCCCAAAGCATTTAAAAAATTTAGATGTGGTAATTGCTCGATATATGGAAGCAACTGTTGCGGCTGCAGCGGAGTCCAGGGCTGCAGATATCCATCCAGGGCTCATCAGTTGAGTGAGGTTTCCCACAGGAAGCCAAGGAGAGCTGCAGGAGACTTCTCCCACAGCCGCCTGCCCCTGCCAACAGGCTCGGACCAAATCTAGCTCCACAGTCGGCACAAGCCAGATCCAGGCTTGTCCCACCGCCTGCGTCCCTTGCTTGTATCCACCCTCTTTAAACCCTGCCCAGACTGGACCCAGCACAATTCATCTGGGGACAGAGCAACCAGTTGAAAGAACCGGGGAGGACTGAGATCTGGTCAGGAGCAGCTGCGATCTAACCCCGCACCTGGGGATCTGTGCCATTTAAAGCACTAGACAGCTGTTTTGTGGTGGCTGTGCCAACTCATGCTGTTGAAAAAGCGCAACCCCCACATTGCCCCCTGGTCAAACTTGGGAGGTGGGCGGCAAGACAAAAAGGTCTAGGAGCCCCACCAGCTAGGGCACCTCCCTCTCTAGCCCTGGGGCGGGGGGCGGGGGGGGGCGCTGCTCTTTTCACTGAGTGCGGCTCCGGTGGTGATGACAAACACATGATTCCCAAATCCTGAATGTTACCTTTGAATCTAGACACCTCAGACAGCACTCCTCATTCCCCCTCACGTCTGGTATCTTTTCTCCTTGATTAGTGCTTAACGTATTACACAACATCTCACCCTCCAAGTTGTGCAAACCATGAAGGGTAGCAGCAGAGAGTTGAAAAACTGGTCTAACTTCAGTGAGACACAGATTACACAACACGGTGAACAAAAGACCAGAAATAAATGAACGAATATTCCCTTGGATTTTATAACTAATCGACAGAACGCATGTTTGATGGGAAATTTACAAGATTTCCAACCTGCCCCCTCATCGAGCTTCCTTTTATATTCATGCTGAATTTCAAACCAACACACGATAGTGTCGAGGAGAAAGGCTTCAGCTTGCTTTTTCATTACCTCTTACATAAAAAAGAGTTAAGACTTCAAAACCACACCATTTCACTCTTCATAGAGCTACTTTTCATCAGTCAGTGACTTGGATTGTACTTTCACATGCTTCAATAAGATATGACAATTGTCACTAAAACAAGGACTACACGTCCTGCTTTTTCTCTATTTTGTTACGCTGGGGTGCGGGGAGGGGCAGATGCTTAAAGATCCTTCTCAGGTGTCGCCAACCTTGTTTTCATAGGAACTTTCAGAGACCCCGTGAAATCGGATGATATATGAACCGGGAGCAGGGAGACCTGGATTCCAATTCTGACTCAACAGCTAACGTGGCCATCACTTAACCCTTTCTGTGCCTCAGTTTCCTTCTCTATAAAGAGGGACACAACTATCCTGTGAAGGAAGTGAGGCCCGGCACCAGCACAGTGAAGAAGAGAGCTTTCAGTGGAAAGCCCTTAGCGGTAAACAAGACTTGGCTTTAGATCCCAGCCCTGTCATTTAGGGACGGTTACTTTAAAATGCTCTGCTTCCCTTTCATGGCCCGTGGTTAACTAACACCCATGCTGAGTATCAAATGAGATGCCATCTGTGCGGTGTCAGCAGAGGTGGCTGTTCCTTGCGCTGTGTGCCTCACAGGTCCTTGGCACTCGGACCTGGGGCATAAATGCCCACGTAGATCAGATATGAACCCATTCCTCACTGCCCCTGAACACAGGGGAACGGGAGCACTCCCCTAAGGGCTGGGGATGGGGGACAGGGAGGCAAAAATCTGAAACTGCGGCTAAAGCAGAAACACCCACTGCCCCCCTTTTGTTCATGCATGTGTCACCACACCTTGCTCTAGAAAAGGTGTACCCTAGTTCAATAAAAACCAGCTGCTTAGCGCTGCTGGTGGTGAGACTCTGCCCAGTGACTCTCTCTTTATTGTAAATCTGAGACCATCTGCACAGCACCCGCGAAAGGCCGACTTCCAAGTAGAAGCGCCTTCCTGAGCAACATTTGCCTGAAGTCGATATGGCCCGTGCCCCCCGGCTGGCGGCTGGAGGAGAGGACAGGGACACCAGGGCGCTAACCGTTGGGGCAGCCACCCTGTGCACCCCTAAGCTTGAGATCTGCGGGGTGAAAAAGCCACTGCTCGCCACCCGGACCCCCGGTCCTACGGTCTGTCGCTGCGGCGCTGCGACCCCAGCCACCGTAGCACAGCATCCCCGCCCTTACATTGCGTTCGTTCGGGGATAGGAGACTGTCCCGCGCTGCAAATCAGCACTGGTGATTCACTGACACGTAAGTATGAGTGGGACTGGGGGATCGGGGTCGTGGGCCTTGCTGGAGCTTAGAGACGCGAGACCACAAAAAAGAGGGAAGAGCTCAAACCAAACCGTCGGTAGATGGGCGCCCTGATCTAGGCGCGGTTGGGCAATACATGCGGTACCGCGACTCCAGCGCAGGTCCCCAGAAAAGGGGAAACGCTTTAAGGCAGAGAACCGCCGGGCAAGCCAACGCAGGGCAACCCAATCCGGGCACAGGCAAGGCAGCTCTGCCGCCCCGGGCCTCGGTTTCCCTGTCTGCAAAACGAGGGCTTTGGACTAGAGCGTCTCCCAATCCTACTGTTAATCTAGAACTCTGCAATATTCCATGCTGAAACTGTCCGAGGATCGGAAACCGGAAAAAGAGGGGAAAGTGAGGGAAGACGACTAGGGAGGGGAAAAGGACGAGCGGGTGGGAGACCACGGGAGGGAAGAAGGCAGACGCCCGGAACTGGCTTGGCGGGTTTTCAACCTTGCTACTCCTCCTCCCACACCTGAGTTCTCACATCTCGGCCAAGACCCCACACCCAACGAGTTTGGGCACCAGTTGGTCAGGCTTCCCCCTCTGCACACCAATTTTCTAGAGGCCGTGGGGCAGGTGGTGGGCAGCACAATAATGCATGCCAGAGATGGAAGGGGGGACGGTCCCGGCTGGGGTCCGGAGGGCAGGTGAGTGGATCTGGGGCTGGGCAGGGAGTGGGACCGCCAGACCGGGAATCGCAGAGCGCCCGCTTCTCAGTCCTCGTGCCCCGGGCGGGCCAAACTTCATTCCCCAACTTTAGCAAGGGGAGGGGGTATTCAGGGGAGAAAAAAAAAAAAAAAGAAAAAAGAAAAAAAAAGTTGCTGAACTTTTCCCCCAACTCTGTCTCGGAGGCGGACCAGAGGGCGGTGCCTGCACCCTGATTCGCCGCCGGCTCTTGTCTGGAGGCTGCGATTGGCGCGCGGGGTCCGGGGCCGGGAAGAGCGAGCGTGGGGGAGGGGAGCGGCCCTCCCAGCCCGCGGGATCGGCTCGCGCCGGGAGCGGGTTAATTTCAAATCGGGGGCTTGACTGCTCCTGGACGGTCACGCTCCCTCTGCCCGCCCGCCGGCCCGCCAAGCCCGGTCCCGGCGTTTCCCTCCGTGGCACCCACCTCGGCGCAGCGTGAGGACCGACTGACGGCCCGACACGCGGGCTCCCGGACCTGAGCGGGGAAAGCGGTGCCGAAGTGTCCCCCGCTTAGCCCCCGCAGGCTCCAACCGTGAAGTGAACTGACAGGTCAGCGGGACGCAGAGGGATGCGGCACCCAGCCGGCCCGGCACCGGGAGAGGGATCGGGAGGGCTGCGGCAGCGACGGCCGTTTCCCGCCTCTCGCTCAGCCGGGGGCCGTGGAGGGAGGAGCTGAGCTCCCGCGCAGAGGGGAGGGGGCGAGCGAGGGGGAGGGGCGGGGACACCGTGGTTCCGGGCGCGGGTTTGCCCGCGCTCAAGCCCCGCGCAGCCAAGGGGCGGTGCCGGCCACGGTCCGGCTTTCCGCGCCAAATTTTTAAATCGAAGGCGGAAGGTCCGGACCCGCCCCTGGCGCCACCAACCAATCGCAGGCCCGCGTCCAGCTCTCTGATTGGTTAGGAATCGTTGCCCTGGGAACGGCGAGGATGCTGTCTGGGAACTGCAGGGCTGGTGGCGCGCGGACTGGGCCCGGGGGGAGGGGTAGTTGGCTGGGCGGAGGGGGAAGTGCGCGGGGCGCGGAGCGAGTGGCGGCCGGGGGACTGTACCTGGTGGCTTTACTGAACCAATGCAGCCTCCTTGGTGAGATCCAACATCGTGGCGTGAACGCGCCACCCGAATTGAGAGTACACCGCGCCTTTCATCTTTAAGGATGTCCTAAAAAAAGAATAAGTCTTAATCATAAGGCGCTCTTTAAATACCCGGAGTATGTTCGGAACTTAAGAGCTGAATTTGGAAGTTTCCCGTCAAGCTATTTCCCAAGTCTTTACTGCTGAGCCTGTGCAAGTGTGTGTCAGGGGAAAAGTTCAGGCATCAAGATGTACACTTTTATCCAGATGCTTGGGGACGTGTCTGCTCAGCCGGAAGCAGGGCTGGGACGCTGGCTCCGTCCCCAACCCTGACCTGTGAACAGGTGGGTGTTAGTGCTTCCTACAGTCCTTTTCGGTGGGGTCTGGAGAATGGCGTGCCGTCCCTGAAGGTGGGAGAAAGCTGTCACTGGAAGTTCTGTGGTTTGCTTTGAGTCTCGTGACAGTGGATCGGTTTGCTGAAGGAATTTACTGGCGTTTGATGGGAGTTCTCTGCCCAGGAGCGTGATCTCTGGTCGGGAATAAAATGTAAATGTAATTTGTCATTTTTTCGTTAGTCTTTGTTTAAGTGGCCTCTGGTGTCCATGAGGGAATATTCAGCCGATCTCCTGGTTTTATTTTTCTTTAACTTTTTCTATTTCCTTTTCTTTTTAAGGATATTAAACGTTTTAATAGAACTGATTGAACTACTTAAACCATCAGGGTGTTGGGAGCAACTCCAGTTTTTCATTTTTAAAGAAACTCTAAATGTATGAGAAATTTACAGAATGGAGAATGAAAAGGTACCTTTTTAACTTTAGTATTCATCCTCGCAGTTTTAAAAGCAATGCCATCCTGATTTAACCCTATGGTTTTCCCATATCCAATATCTTATTAAAGCTACATCCCTTTTTAGTTAGCTTCTATAAAAACCCAGAAGAAAGGGAAATTTAATTTTTAAAGAAGGGAAGAGTTTGGCCAGAGTTAAGGTAATCCAAAGCTTTTAATAGTTTGATTGCAAATGGAAGTCTCAAAGAAATAAGCAGAGAGAAAAGGTATTTTTTTAAGAATAATAAAATTCGTTGGGGCGCCTGGGTGGCGCAGTCTGTTAAGCGTCCGACTTCAGCCAGGTCACGATCTCGCGGTCCGGGAGTTCGAGCCCCGCGTCAGGCTCTGGGCTGATGGCTCAGAGCCTGGAGCCTGTTTCTGATTCTGTGTCTCCCTCTCTCTCTGCCCCTCCCCGTTCATGCTCTGTCTCTCTCTGTCCCAAAAAAATAAATAAACGTTGAAAAAAAAAATTAAAAAAAAAAAAGAATAATAAAATTCGTTAGCTGCATTATGATATTTCTCAGAATTCTTGAACAATTAGAATTTAGAGAGGGCATCTGACGTGATTTGAGATCAGATTTCTTTTCGAGATGATTTTCTACTGAATCGGCAGCTTCTTAAACTTGGGGGCCATAAATACTATTTGTGAGATAGGCATTTTGTAAATAAGAATTGTCAGCAGGGGTGTCTTGATCAGCGTCCAGCTACTGATAGGTTGAAAAATGCAAAGTTCCTAAAAGGTTTAGATACTAGTCAAATGAGAATTGCTCTTGTGCCTGATAGTCCGAGGTAAAGGACAGCAGCCTTTAGAGAAATCCCATTCTCTAGAGAAATCCCATTCCTGCACCTGCCCAGGAGGGTCCCCCATTGTATTCATCACACTGATTTCCCTGGAAGAACACCATAGCTGGATTGAGGACATTCAGGTTCAAGGCCTGTGTAGCCTCTCTCAGCCAGCCTCTCCTCTTCTGCAGACCAGAATTACATGTAGGATATGGTGAGAATACAAATAGAAAAGCACTTGATAAATCCTAAGGAATCACGGACATGTTAAACAGCCCCATTAATCTTTGTTCCTAAAGTCACTGAGGAATTAGTGAGTCTCTGTGTTCTTTTACTTATTGTCATTCCAAGCATTTCCTTTAAAATAGCGATGGATAGAGAGTAAGAATGTGTGAAGTCCCCAGTGTCCAAAAGTGGAAGAAACATAGTCTCCATTACTCTTACTTGTGAACTGCTATTCATTTACCATCATGTCTCAGTGGCAGTCCTGCCTCTGCCAGGAACCATAACTAATTTTATCTTATGGGGCCCCATTTTTCCTTCTATAAAGTGAGAAGGTAAATATTGTAAGAGCAGACTTTCTTTGCTCGTCGGCACTCTGGGTTTTGCTCCCTTCTAGCTTTTGCCTGTAAGTATGACCATATGCCAGCCCTCACCCTGGTCTCCTTGGCTTTCTGACTCTTCCACATCAGTGGTATTTTACTGAGCACTCAGTGTATGGAGCCATGTGCCAGATGAGACACACACAGATGAATAGGACATGGTTTCTGCCATGTAGGCCTTTACTTATTGCAGTGTTGTGTGTAAAAGTCACTCCTAGGAGCTTTGGATCATTTAAAATTAGCAGTCCTATTAGAGGAAGCTGAGTGAAAGGTGTATGGGAACGCTTTATATTAACTGCAACACTATTCTAAATCAAAAATGATGTCAAGAAGGTTTTAAAATTCTGCCTTGAAGGTTTTTTGTTCAATTCTTGGAACATAGGATGAACTACAAAATTAAAAATGGGAAATTTAGCTAGTAAAAAGGACAGTAAGTGTCAAGTGATCATTGGGATAGTTACTAATTTAATCGGCCCTCTAACCTCATTAGGCACTTTTCCCTTGACAATATTTTATTTATTGTACAATTTCTAGAATCGAAAGCTGTATGATAAATCCTGTTTTATGGTGGATTTAATTATTTGCTTGTTTTAAACCAGGAAAATCTCTTTTTTGAGCCACATAAAAGAGGACTAATGAAAACACCTCTGAAAGAATCCACTGCAGCAAATATAGTGTTGACAGAGATACAGCCTGACTTTGGCCCTTTGACCACGCCCACCAAGCCCAAGGAGCTCTCCCAGGGAGAACCGTGGACACCAACAGCCAACCTGAAAATGCTCATCAGTGCCGTGAGCCCCGAGATACGAAATAGAGATCAGAAAAGGGGGTTGCTTGATAGCAAAAACGGATTACCTGAGGCCAAAGATTGTTTGCACGTAGGTTTGCAAAAGGCTGGGAGGAGGCTGGTGTGTGTGTGTGTGTGTGTGTGTGTGTGTGTGTGTGTGTGTGTGTAGGAGCAGGGAGGAGTAGCTATTACAGAAGTGCCAGCAATATGAAGCATCGACACCCACAGACTTATTAGCCTGCTTCGGAGCACAGGACTCCATCAATATAGCACTAGGAATCCTGAGCCTTTGACTTATTTCAGCACAAGCCTCCTTTTTCGATCTGCCACACAGTTTACACTGGCTCCTACCTTTCTACTCCCAGTTTTGCAGCTGTTGAAGCTAAGCATGTTAGCCGTCATAGGCAAATGACCCTAATAAATCTGTCCAACTCTATTTCCGATTCAGACATGATTTACCTCTTCTTTTGTAGGAACACTTATCTGGAGATGAATATGAGAAATCCCAACCAAGTCGAAAAGAAAAAAGTTTAGGATTGTTGTGTCATAAGTTCTTAGCACGATACCCTAACTACCCCAACCCTGCTGTGAACAATGACATCTGTCTTGATGAAGTAGCTGAAGAACTTAGTAAGTATGCAAAGAGCTCACCATTTAACCATATAACCATTTCAGGTTAATAATTAAAGTGACTTCATGGACTTACTCCTTCAGACCCACGCTCATCTAGCCAGTGTTCTTAACGACACAGATAATGCCACATGGAAATTATAAATCACTGAAGGCTTTTATTTATTTATAATTTTTTAATGTTTATTTTTGAGAGAGAGACACACAGAGCGTGAGCAGGGGAGGGGCAGAGAGAGAGGGAGACTCAGAATTTGAAGCAGGTTCCAGGCTCCGAACTGTCAGCACTGAGCCCAATGCCGGGCTGAATTCACGGACCGCAAGGTCATGACCTGAACCCAAGTCAGTCGCTTAACCTACTGAGCCACGCAGGTGCCCCTCTGAAGCCCTTTTAATTTAAGAATAAAGGCATATAGTTTCCAACTTCCGTGAGTTTTCAAACAGAAGTAAAAAATCACAACAGAGATTGCTTCTGATTGCATTTCAAAAGCTCTGAAGCTGTAAAGAAAGACAACATTGGTTGTTTGTTTGTTTCTTTGTTTTTTTATGTTTATTTATTTTGAGAAAGAGTGGGGAGGGGCAGAGACAGGGAGACAGAATGGGGAGCAGGCTTCCAGGGCAGAGTCCCACACGGGGCTGGAACTCAGGAACAAGCCAGGAACCAACGGTGAGAGCCTGACGTGAGCTGCAGTTCAACACTTACCAACTGACCCACCCAGGCGCCCGGAGAAAGGCAACATTGTTTTATGACTTGTTTCAAAAACAGCTACAACTTTGAACTTTTGTCTGCACTCTCTGGGCTCCCTCGCTCTCTCCTTGAAGAGCTAGGCTGGAGAATGGTATCTTCCTGGTTTGTGATGAGCCTGTTCCGTGAGTAGAAGCAGGGCTCTAGCATCGCCTGCCACTGGGCACGATTCTGAGGACAATACGTGTTGGTGTTTGGCAAGTTACTGTGATCCTCCTACCCCCTTTATTCTTGTCTTCATAGACTTGAATCTAGTTATAGCTAGAAAGGGGTCTGTGGTAAACTTGGGATACTTTTGGAGTCATGAAAATCTCAGAGTCTGAAACTGGAGAGATAGGAAGGATATTTTAATATGTAGCTGTCACTCCAGGAAGAAAGTTTTGCTCTTCGGATGCGTGTTTATAAATACTGACTTGATTTCCTATTTTTAAGAATAGCCGTTTAGATTCATCTAGTCACACACAATTGTAGCTGTGCAGGCTGTACTTTTAATTCAGCAGGTAGCTGTTGATCACCTACTGTGTGCCGGGCAATACTGTAAAAGCTTGGGATAATGTCAGTGGATAAAAAGAATAACACCCTGGGGTGCCTGGGTGGCTCAGTCAGCTAAACATCCAACTCTTGATTTCGGCTCAGCTTATGATCTCACAGTTTCTGAGTTTGAGCCCTGTGTGGGGCTCTGCCCTGGCAGCCCAGAGCCTGCTTTAGATTCTCTGTCTCCTTCTCTCTCTGCCCCTCCCCCTGCGAAATAAACATTTTTTAAACAAAGAATAAAATCTTTCCTCCTGTGGAACCTACTTTATAGCGGGGGGAATAGATGAGTGTGCAAAGGACAGATAAGGAGAGATCATAACAGATATGCAAAGCACATAGCAAGCAAGGTATAATAACATGTTAGGAGGTGATACATGCTGTGGGGAAAAATAAAATGTAGAACAGGGTAGAGGGGGACCAGGAGGGCTGGGAGTGTGTTTTTGCAATGTTACATTAGGTGGTCAGGTCAGGCCTCATTGAAAGGGTGACATCTGAGCAAGAACTTGAAAAGATGGAGGTGAGGAGTGATGAGGGCATCTGGAAGAGGGATTCCAGGCAGAAGCAGCAGCCCAGGAAAAGGCCTTCAGGCAAGGGCACATCTGGCAGGTTCCAGGAACAGCAAGAAATCTCAGTGCTTTGTACCTATTCTATGACAACTGCCTGTGTGTGTGCACACGTGTGTGTGCATGTGTGTGCACACACGTGCTTTGAAGAGTAATATAAAAAAAAAAACAGCTTGTAATGTGTGGGGTTTAGAATATTAAAAGACTTGGTTTTGTCACTGACTGGCTCTGTGCCTTGGCCTGGGCTACGTAGCAGCCTGAGCCCCCTTCCCTCATCATTAAAGTGTGAATAATAATACCTGCCTCACCAGTTTAGGATAAAAATTTCCTAAAGCTGTATGGCACAGAGTAGGTCCTCAATAAATGTTACCTTTCCAATTCCTATTATCGTTATTTACACGCTATGAGAGCAGAAACGTGTCTGGCTCGTCCTTACGCTCTCTGTTGAGTGTAAGTAGAATTGTGTCATCCAGACCCGCTGACTCATAAACCGTGGAAGAAAAAGTTACTCAGTTCTCTACACGTTGCAAAACCTGATCCTCGTTGTGTACCGTTGCTCATTCTTCGCAGATGTTGAGCGGCGACGCATTTACGATATCGTGAATGTCCTAGAGAGTTTACACATGGTGAGCCGCCTGGCCAAAAACAGATACACTTGGCACGGGCGACATAATCTCCACAAAACCCTGGGGACTTTGAAAAGCGTCGGGGAAGAGAACAAGTATGCCGAGCAGATTATGATGATCAAGAAGAAAGAATACGAACAAGAGTTTGACTTTGGTAAGACCATCAGCCTAGAGGATCATATCATCAAATCGAACACCGGCCAGAATGGACATGCGGACATGTGTTTTGTCGAACTCCCTGGAGTGGAATTTCGGGCAGGTGAGCCATGGTTGGAAGAGCCTGGGCCACAGGGCCCTCCTCCTGGGTCTAAAGAAAATGGTTTCTTAGAGAACGCGGTTCTAAAGCAAATCCTGCCTTTTAACATGCTAAAACGCTGCGGTTGTCAGCTGTCTGATCAGGTTGTGGTATTTTTAGCCCTGTTACTTTAGAAGTCACTTGTCCCTTCATGAATTTTAATTCTCTAATCCTCCTCCTCCTCCAAAGCTTCTGTAAACAGCCGCAAAGATAAGTCTCTAAGAGTGATGAGCCAGAAGTTTGTGATGCTGTTTCTGGTGTCGACGCCTCAGATAGTAAGCCTAGAAATTGCTGCCAAGATTCTAATTGGGGAAGACCACGTGGAAGATTTGGATAAAAGCAAGTTTAAAAGTAAGTGTCAGGACTGCCGTGGGCTTTCGGACCTATTCTGAAACCGTAAAATGTCGCTCAGAAACGTCTAAATGAGCAATACATTGTCAAGTGGGTCTGGAACCCAGATCTCTGCTCTTACAGGGAAGGGTATAAATAACTCTTCTAAAATTGTTCCCAGAAGTGACCTGCAGCCCAGTTGAAAGAATAGGTTCAGCCAGACCTGCTCAAAGTAGGAAAGGGGCCTGGGCTGGGTTCCCGATGCAGAGCTCTGCCCACGCCTCAGTGACAGGCTTTGCAGGAGCCTCCAGAAGAGGAGAGTGTGGAGAGAAGTGCTCAGCACATGGGAAGGGTCTGCAGCATGCCCACGTCTTCTGGAGGTATCAGCACACCTCCACGCAGGGCATGAGGCTAGCCTGAACAGGGGACCCGCCTGACGAGGGGACCGCTGTGGGGAGTGCCCGGGAGCCATCACACCGACTCCTTTCCCGTTCCTGTAAAGCTGTGCTAATCCCATGAAAGTATATTCAGACATCTCCAGGTTGATAGTGTCTCTATAAAGACAAAATTAAGTCGAGGGTAAAGGCAGTAATACTGGCAATTGGCTCGGGAGATGTGCAATTTCAACCCACTACGGATGGGCTGCCTGCTTTTTCTCACTCACCAGACAGTTTTCAGCTCTGCGTTTTGCTAGTTAGTCACAGCCTTGGAAACCATTCCAGGAACTGTGGATGTGTACTTTGCTGCATCCGCAGGGAATTCAAAACCTTCTGGCATGGCTACGAAGAACAAGGTCAATTTATAATTTTGTGGTATCAAGCTGGAAGTAAAGACCAGTTTCTTGTAATAAAACTTTTTAAGGTGTGTAAGATGTGTAGAATTAACGAATCAGTGATTTGCATATAACATAGGGACAATATAAAAGTTTACAAATTTGGGGGCACCTGGGTGGCTCAGTTGGTTAAGCATCCAACTCTTGATCTCCGCTCGGGTCATGATCTCATGGTTCGTGAGTTCGAGCCCTGTGTCAGGCTCTGACCTGGCAGTGCAGAACCTGCTTGGATTTCTCTCTCTCTGCCCCTCCTGGACTCTGTCTCGCTTTCTCTCAAAATAAATAAACATTAAAAAAAGTTTTTTTTTAATTTACACATTTTGATGGGTTATGGCACCCTCCATGCTTATGATACCAAATAAATCTCATTGGTATAAACTGTCACAAGTTGGAAAGCAATACATTTATCATTGACGCTTCATTTCTACTTGTTCATAAAATTCTTCTGAATCTTCATTAGAGGATTACCAGTAATGGGGACTTTTTACTAAAAGTTCTGTAACATAGTTCCCGATAGGGTGATCTCACAAAGTCATTTTTCCTTTTTCAACCTCTGTCATTTCTAAATTCAGTACCAGCAGTAACAGTCTTTTCAATATTTAAAACTATTTTCTTGTTTGAATTAACGCAGTATCACCAGAATAACTTAAAAGAGTCACATTTTTCTCTGCCTGACATTGATGACTAGGATAGCTTTTTGAATATACATGAAGTCCTCAAGAAGCAAAGTCTTTTGATCTTTCATTATTCCATTAAGTGGTATATATCTTTTATTTTCCAGCAAAAATTAGGAGGTTGTATGATATCGCTAATGTCCTGAGTAGCCTGAATCTTATCAAGAAAGTTCATGTTACGGAAGAAAGAGGCCGAAAACCAGCTTTTAAATGGACAGGCCCAGAAATCGGTCCAAATCCCAGTGGTATGTATTTGTTTTCCTTCATTCTTTGCTTCATTGTTTTCAATTAATGTGCGTTGGGAGATGTTCTCCCTTCCCCTTCCTGCCCACATTCCCACATGGAAAGAACATATATAAGTTGTTGGAAAGACAAAGACGAGTGCCAATATGGAAAGTCTGGCTACTGGTTCCATCAACAACCCAAGGGCCAAAACACCTCCAACCCTGTACTCACGAGGCAGAATCTGTGCGTGACAGGATCTGAAAAAGTGGAAAGCATCACAAAACATAAGATACTATTGCTTAATTGTTAGGCTGCCCAGTGGCCATAACAGAGCCTACACACATCGAGAACATGAAGTGAATTCACTCCAGTATTAATATTCTAGTCTCCATCTCAGCTCCAGGGTTCTGACATTTTATGTTCCATCAAAGATCCCACGCAGAGGGGCGCCTGGGTGGCTCAGTCGGTTAAGCGTCCGACCTCAGCTCAGGTCATGATATCACAGTCCATGAGTTCGAGCCCCGCGTCGGGCTCTGTGCTGACAGCTCGGAGCCTGGTGTCTGCTTCAGATTCTCTGTCTCCCTCTCTCTGACCCTCCTCCGTTCATGTTCTGTGTCTGTCTCAAAAATGAAAAAATATCAAAAAAAAAAAAATTTAAAAAAAAAAAAAAAAAAGATCCCACGCAGAAATGTTTAAAGTAGCAGGAACATGGGCCATGGGGGCAGAGGGAAACTCTATGTGGCCTTGAACAAGTTACATCTCCAAGGCTGTTTCCTCACCTGCAAGATGGGAAGAAGAGTGGTATCTTTGCAAGGTTATTGCAGTTTTGAATATACATTGACTGTTGAACAATGCAGGGGTTAGGAATGCAGTAAAAAATCTGCATATAACTTTTGACTCCCCAAAACTTAACTACTAATAGCCTATTGTTGACCAGAAGACTTACCAAGAAAATAGTCAGTTAAAACATATTTTGTATGTTTATGTATCATCTACTATATTCTTACAATAAAGTATGCTAGAAAAAAGAAAATCTTACCAAGGAAATCATAAAGGAAGATACGTTTACAGCACTGCACTGTAAAAAATCTGCATATAAGTGGATCTGCAGAGTCCAAACCTGTTCAAGAGTCAACTGCCATCTCAGAGAGAGGTCCTTTGATGCAGGGGATTCAGAGTGCAGGCTCCAGGGCCAGACTGATGGGCTCATATCCCAGGCCCACGTTGTACTAGCTGAGAGAGCAAGGTCAGTTGATGAATGTCTCTGAAATGGGGATGCATTTCCTAAGAAGTACCTACCTGGTGGAGTTGTTGAGAGCGTCTTCGTCCATTCAGCCTGCTATAACCGAATACCATACACTGGGTGGCTTATAAACAACAGAAGTTTATTGCAGTTCTGGAGGCTGGGAAGTCTTACGAGAGCCTGCTACCTAGATGGCTGTCTTCTCGTCATAACTTACATGGCAGAAGGGACTAGAGAGTGCTGTGGGGCCTCTTTTATAGGAGCACTTACTCAAGAAGGCTCCACCCTCATGACCTAAGCACCTCCCAAAGGCCCCACCTCCTAATGCCAACACATTGAGGGTTAGGATTTCAACCTGTGGACTTGAGGGGACACCATTATTCAGTCCATAGCAGTGAGAGCCACCATATTTCATCAGGGTAGGACTCCACTGATTATAAGATGCATGATTTTATATATATATATATATATATATATATATATATATATATATATGAGATAAGAAAGAGAAACCACTAATGATTATACTCTAGCACACCACTGGTTGGCTGTAAGATGCTGTGGGTTTCAGAGATGTTGAGGTGTGAAATCTTACCTCAGAACTCAATTAAAATAAGATTAACAAGGTTTTGTACAGAAAGCCCTTCAGACGGTGTCTATCCCAGAGCTGGTGCTCTATAAATGTTGCTGCTTTCATTCCTAAAGATCATTCTCGACCTACACTTTGACTTCATCTCCTACGAGGAGGCCGAGCCAGCCGGGTTTCGACCCCCTGCCCTTCTCTCTTTCAGGACGTGGCCAAGTCCTTCCTTTCCCCCATTCTGATCTAGAAGTGAAGCGGCCTTCAAAAGACAACTGTGCCAAAAACCTCTTTTCCACGCGTGGGAAACCAAACTTCACTCGACACCCATCTCTGATCAAACTGGTTAAGAGCATAGAAAGTGACCGGAGAAAGATAAATTCTGCTCCCAGTAGCCCCATCAAGACAAGCAAAGGTATGTTTTCAGTCACATCAGGCTCTGCTCTGAAGAATTCCTTTTTATCTGATTTTTTTTTCACTTACTTGATCCCTACGGTACTTGTTAGAGATTTGTTTCAATACCCATATACCCCGATCCACTCACTTGAAGCCTAACTCACGTATGAATGAAAAGACGAAAAATAATTGGTGGGTTTTAATGGTTATGTGATTTGGAAGGGAGGTGCGTGTTTTCTGTTCCTTTGACTTCAATGATGTTTTATCTGTGTGAGCATTCCTTCTTTTGCTGTGACCAACACCACCGCCCCCCTTTCTGTTTTATCAGCTGAGAGCGCTCAGAATCCGGCACCCTTCCCAAGTAAAATGGCTCAGCTCGCAGCTATTTGCAAAATGCAGTTAGAAGAGCAGTCAAGGTAGGTTAGTAATACTCTTTAGTAGCAGGATGAATTACTTTTACGTTGCATCATTAGGATTACTTGCTTTACGTAAGAATACGCACTAGCCTTGGAGACTGGTGAGACCGTCTTCTCTATAACTTTTATGCAATCATTGCAGAAGCTACCTGCTCGTTTCATACACGCACGGCTACAATCTGGCCCAGGCTTAGAACATTTTAGAGAAGATGTGTTTCCACTGTGTCATATTTTACATCTTGTCTTTTAGCGAACCCAGCAAGAAAGCGAAGGGACAGCTGGAAAGATGCGGGCACTGCAAACCAGTGTCTCCTCTGCACACCCCAGCAAATGCTGAGCTGGAACTGACGGCCCCGCCCCTCATCCAGCCCCTGGGGGTGGTCCCCCTCATCCCCAGCCCATTGTCACCTGCAGTGCCCATGATCCTACCTCAGGCCCCTTCAGGCCCGTCCTATGCCATCTACCTGCAGCCTGCCCACGCCCAGACCGTGACGCCACCCCAAGGCCTGAGCCCGACAGTCTGCCCCACCCCCTCTTCTAAAGCTACAAGATCAAAAGACTCCACAGATGCCACCACCGAGAAGGCAGCCAATGACGCCACCAAATCCGGTGCCTCCACCAGGCCTGGAAGCTTGCAGCCAGTGACTGAGAGACCAGGTGCGAAGAACCGAGACAAGGAGCCTGCTGGAGAAAGAGGCTCAAAGAGGGCAAGCATGCTCGAGGACAGTGGTTCCAAAAAGAAGTTTAAAGAGGACCTGAAAGGACTTGACAGTGTCTCCACAGTAAGTACAGCCCCGAACCATGTAAAGCTTTAGGAAGTGCACAGTTGATTAGAGGAGAATTTGGTAGCTTGTGAAATTTACCAGAGCAAAGAGCAGTTTCTCAGAAGACAAGGTTCTGTTCCTTAGTGTCCCATAATCCAAACAAAGCCCCAGACAGCTAATCCCCTGACTGGGATGACGGCAGGGACATTTTTAACCTTTGGAGGAAGGGATTATTTGCTCCCTTTTTAAAGCACCACGGGTGGTTGTCCTTAAGTCTGTTGCTGTGTCACATACTGGAATGCAAACAGCTGTCACGAAAGTCTTAAATAATTTACAAGCAGACGTAACCCCAAATGAATGGGTGGATGCACAGGGTTCCTGTAACTCCTGCTTTCTGAGTCATTACCTAATGTTTGTTGGATGTCACGTACCTGGCATCTGTTGCCCGCAAGATAAACCGTCCCCTCTGTTTTAACTGTCCACTTAAAATTTAAACCAAAATTTCTATTTTATGTAACAGAAAAGTCCAGCGTATCTTGGCAGATTGTAGGTACACTTGATGCATTGGTTTCTAGAGACTTTGATGTTCCAGGTAATTGTTTTCCCTAGGTGGAGTTAGGTTCAGGAAGGAATTAACATTTATTAGATGCTTACCCATATACAGGGCAGCAGAAGTACTAGGCATTTTAAAAAAAAATTTTTTTTTTCAAACGTTTATTTATTTTTGGGACAGAGAGAGACAGAGCATGAATGGGGAAGGGGCAGAGAGAGAGGGAGACACAGAATCGGAAACAGGCTCCAGGCTCTGAGCCATCAGCCCAGAGCCTGACGCGGGGCTCGAACTCACGGACCGCGAGATCGTGACCTGGCTGAAGTCGGACGCTTAACCGACTGCGCCACCCAGGCGTGTACTAGGCATTTTTATATAGGCTATCTCATTTTTCTCCCTCAGGACAATTACATATGGAGGACATTATCACCAAATAAACACCACTAAACATGGAGGCAGAAGTTAATCTCTCATTTTGTCCCTGCTATTAACTCAAGTTATTTTCCTTCTCTACATCTTGTTTTTCCACATCTATAAAGAATTTATTCCACGACTTTTTCCTGATCATCTACTGGGTATAAAGCACCGTGCTCTGGATCAAATCAAACCCAGCACCTGCCTTTGGTGACTGTTGCTTTTGAATACTTGCCCCAGGGCCACGTTACAGTTTTTGTGAGGTTAAGTGAATTTATTACATGATAATATACATAAAGGGGCTTGTGATCCTTTTAAGGCACCGTATAAGCTGAAGGGTATTATCTGCAACTGTTGTTATTAAAGAGGCTTTAGAGTTTGTCAAATCTTCCCTGAGGATGGCCTCATGGTAACCATTCAAAACATCTATTATCTTGGCATACTATCATTTTGCATGTAATATACATGCTAAGGGGAAAATCACAAGGCTTTGGCTTGATTCAATTTTCTGGGAGGTCCATAATCTCTTTGGGCCAATGGATATGATTTAATAATGGTCTCCTGTTGCTCGCTTAGTTATTCAGGATTAGGATTTTCAGTAGATAGATTTTCCGTGTGCCCCTGCTTCTCTTTTCATCTCTACGGCTTCATTTTGACCATTTCTTTTTAGCACGGACTAAGCTGAACAAAGGAAATGAGAGATTTGTGTGTTAGTTCATTCAACAAACATTACTAAGAATCTGCACTTCTGTGGGTGGAGAGAAGACAGTTTAGAAATAAACACAAATATGTCAGGCAATGAACATAAAACAGGCTGATAGAATAGGAAGAAAGGGATAAGAGAGCTAATGTAGACTGGATGAGAAGCATGCAAGCTGAAATATACCAAATTCATTCGACCTGCTAATTAACAGTTCTAATTAAAAAAAAAAAAAAAAGGAATTGGCATCTTAGGTTGAAAGATTTTGTGATGAACGTAGTCTGTAGAAAATTGAAAAATAATTATTAGAGTACTATAGGTTTTGCTAAAGATTTGAAAGAATTAAACCAGCCACCAGAGTAACTTGTACCGTGAGAGTGTGATGAACGGTAGTAAAGAACAGCTACTTGTAAATCGCCTAAATCCACCCATTAAAACTTTCTGTTCCTGCGGCTTTCAAGGAACCGACGAGTAAAGATAGGGAACAGTGCCAAACATTTCAGAAACAAAACTGATAAATAGCAGTGTCGTGGAACACTGTTAGCCTTGCAGATTTGGAATTCTCTGGTTCCCAAGGAAAAGATGGGACCTATTAACAGCTAGATCAAAGTGTAGACTGTTGTTTTGACAATGGTGAGAAGAAAGATCTGAAGGAAGATAAAAAGAGGGCCCCCAGGTTACAAGAGCTGCTTTTAGCTTTTGCCAGGCCTGCTCGTGGTAAGGCCGAAACAGACTTTTCAGGCAGTTCAGCCACCCATGCAGGCTCTCCGTTTGCTAAAGTACGGGGGCCAAGCAGGCGTGGTGGGGGGTACACACAACCCAACATTGGCCATTTCTCTTTAGGATATAACTTTATTGCCTGAAGCTTTTGCTCTGTGCCACGAGGGTCTCCAGTATGAACTAATCAGTTCTCTTTTCAACTATAGTTTTTGAACTCTGGTGCCCTGCCCTTCAGTTGGCGTGTTATAAGCGTGCTTGGTATCACCGGAACCTAAAGTGCTAGGAAGAATACATCTGTAGTCGTATAATTACTTTATTCTAAATCAGGGGTCAGCAAACCTTTTCTGTAAAGAGCCAGGTAGTAAATATTTTTGGCTCTGTGGGCCCTATGGTCTCCGTGCTGCCTATTCAACCTTGCCATTGTAAAAATAGAAGAAAGCAGGTATGTACAGAACACAAATGAATGGGCATGGCTGTGTTCCCATACAATGTTCTTTACAAAAGTGGACAGGAGGCCAGATTTTGGCCCAGGATTTGGCAGCCCCCTTCTCTAAGTCAACATTTCTTAAAATGTTTTCCTTGAATACCAATACTACCAAAAGTTTAGCTGCTCAATTGCCTGGGAAA